TCGGATGTTTTTAGTTTGGAGTATTGTGATAGAGATTGTGAGTGGAAAAGAAACATTAATTTCGTTGTGAAGATCTCTCTCAAATTCTCCAAATATGGGTGAGTCATATCCTCTTTTTTTATTTTCTTTTCTTAGTTAAAAATTTTACGTTTATGATAAACAATCACATTAATAAATTTTCAATTTTAAAATTAATTGTTTTTAACATATAATCTAGGCATGGAAAGAGTGGAAAAAAGGTAAAGTATTGGAGATAATAGATTCATCAATACGTGATACATGTTCTGTTCAGCAAGTTGAAAGGTGTATTAACATCGGATTGTTATGTGTTCAAGAAGCACCAATTGATCGACCAACTATGTCTTCAGTGATTTTGATGTTAGAAAATGAAATTATTCCACTTCCATCTCCTAAAGAACCTGCCTTTTGGATGAGCAATTGTAATACAAATTTTCACCAATCTTTTCATTCTCATTCTTACAATGAGATGACAATAACTTGGTCAGGGGCTCGTTAGTGAATAAATGTGAAATAATTTATTTTAAATATTTTTAGTAATAAAGTAAAATATTATTGTAATACTAATTTTTATAATTTAGTAGAATTTTATATGATATATAATAATATAAAATATATGTACATTATATAGATAAATATTTATCATCTTATTTGATCTCTATTTTTTTTTAATATTCATTATCAATCTGAATATAAGATAGATTCTCATATTGATGGAGAATAACTAATTAATTCATTTATATGAAATTGTTTACAATTGGATTAAAAAATATTACAAAGTTAAGCAGTTTTATAATTTTAATTATAAAAAAAGACTTTCATAGGATTTAATTATAATATAATATTTTTAGGATAATTAATCAAAATTTATATACAATAAATTTTTCACAAAAAAAATGTAAGAATATAATATAAAAAAGTTTGTTAGGTAAACAATTAATAATATACAACAATATTTAAAATACATGATAAGATCTTACCATAGTAAGAACTATATTAAGATTTATAATTTTAAAATATTAATTTTATTAAAATAAAATAGAAAAATAATTTAACACATCTCTAATATGTGTTTAATTAGTGTAAACATACAAAACAACATAAACAGAAAAATATATGAGATTTTAGTATTTTAAGAACTATTTACTTCTGTTACATGAAAAAAAATTACTTTTATAATTTTTGAAAATTTAAATATCTCTAATGTTATTTTTTTATAACCATGTAAAGCTAAATGTTTATACTGTTTAATTTTTACCATTAAAATTGAATTGCAAATAGTAATGTATAAAATTATATCCAACTCAGCCTAATTATAACATGGATTAAAATAATGAGTAAATAAAATATATTAAAGATTTATTTTCTATGAGAAAATAGTAGATGAATTATTTTCTGATTGGATAATTAATAATTTTGTTGTTTTTATTAAAATATTATTTTTTAAATGAAAATGTAAATTTGAGTATCTGAATACCATATGGATAAAAAACTAAAAGAAAAAGTTTAGAACTTCATTTCCCTCGGGTCGGGTCGGACGCATACCGATAACGGGGCGTGGGAGACCAACGGGTCGGATTCGCGAATGAGTGAAGTCTTCATCAGAGCTTACCGTGGCCATCTTCCCTCCAAATCAAAACCAGTTCGGGCCAAATGGTAAACGTTTTTCTGACTCGTTCACTCTTTCTCAAAACAAAACCCTAAATTTCTGTCCCTTTCTCGAGAAAATCCAAGTCGGAAAGGATATCAGAAGAAGTAATGAAGGGAGGCACAGTACAGATAAATTGGCACGATACAAAACCAGTTCTAACCCTAGACTTCCATCCCATTTCTGGTCTACTTGCCACAGGCGGCGCTGACTTCGATATCAAGGTATTGGGCTCCGAAATTACTCATTTCTCTCTGTTAATTTGTTTTTCCCAGGCATCCTTTTTTTTTTTTAATTGGTTAATTATAATCTTTTTTTTTGTTAGCTGATGGTAGCTGGCTTGTTTGATGCTACTTTTGTTAGCCATTATTTTAAATTATGCTGTACTTGGTTAAAAATGAGAAGGTGGAAAGTGAGGCGTAACGGATTTGGAAATTTGAGTTCTTCTGTTCTTTTCCCCCCTCTGTAAAGCATTTGCACAAAAGAGGCCCATTTCCGTGGAAGTGGAATGCTGGTGTTTAAGTTCCAATTTGCCTTTGTTTGAGAATAATGAACTGAATGGAAGCATCTTCTAGAGGCAAATTTCTGGCATTTCCTGTCCCCAATTTGGTATTGCCACTTTCTGGAACCAGACATAAATCTAAGTATTTTGTTCGTCTTGTGGTTTGCATGGAATCCTATTAGTTTGATGATTTTCGTAGGGAATAGATGGATTTTGAATGGACCAAGTGGTATAATGTCTCTAGGAAATCAACGTAACTGTTAGTCTGTTTTTCTTCAAAAAGTGACAGTCTTTTATATTTGAAATTTCAGCTTTGGCTGATAAACTCTGGCCAGCAGAAGAAAATCCCAACAGCATGTTACCAAAACAGTCTTTCTTACCATGGGTCCGCAGTTAATATTCTCCGTTTCTCTCCAAACGGTAAGATCACCCTTGTCTTAAATGGAGCATTACATTTATCAGAAGTGGTGTACTGAAATAAACCTGCATTGCATTGGCAAGTAATGGAAAGTATTACTGGTAGTAGCAATTTTAATAATCTTATTTTGCATTGGAACTGAAAGCATCCATAAAGCTCTTAAAATATTTGAGCTATCAGATATGTTGCGGATACTGTGGACACTCTGACTCATGCAGGCTTTATGTTCATGCATTTGACTTTGATATTTTTCTAAAAATGTAATACTCTAAATTAATTTTTAATATAATTTAAGATTTATTTATAAATATAATTTTTTAATTTTAATTTAGAGTAAAATTGAAGTAAAATTGATGGATTATTAAATTGAAAATAATTTTGGAAAAAATAGGTAAAAATTTGAGTTCTGGGGGTACTTTTGAAAAAAAATTCGGAAACCGGGGGTCAAAATATAATTTAGAAAAGTTTTGCCATAGGATGCCCGGTCAGCAACCCCGATGAATCAGGACGCGTCGCGTGGCAGCGGACGCTAACGCGGTGCCACATGGGAGGCTACACGGGCGATCCGCGTGCCCGCAATTGGACGACCTAGATCCGTTCCCGTGCACACGAACGGCTCGTATGCGTTCCCTTCCCAAACGCGATCGGATGGTCAGATTTAAATGGGATCAGACAGTTCAGATTAGATCGTGATGAACGCCCAGATTTACTCGTTATTTAATCGCGATCGAATGGTTCAAATCAAACGCGATGGACGACCTAGATTAAATGTGGACGGATATAAATAACTCTCATTCACACCAAATCCTAACCCTAGCTGCCAAACTCCCTCGCCGGATAAGAAGACCCAGCCGCCGGGAAGGAGACCGCCACCACCCGCCACCGCACCGGAGTCCTTTCCAACCACCAAAAAAGGTAATAATTTTTTCTTTTACTCAGAATTCAATTTTAAGCACACGCATGACTAAATCAAAGTAAAAGAACTGGCTAATTGGCCGGAAAACGTGGGCAAAGTCCGGCGGCGCCGTCGCAGGAAATTCCACAAAACGCCTCCGACGAGGCCCTTCTCGATTCCCGTTTTGCATAATTTTTCCATCGTTGTGAATTGACCGAAGCCAAACACCCAACCGCAACGTGAGATGGAGGAGTCGCCTCACCGGAGAGCCCCGCTGTCGGTGAGTTTTGGTTTTTTATGTTTTTACGGCCAACCGATACTTCTTAACATGTTTTCTCGCAGGGATTGATGCGAAATTGGCCGAATTCGGCCAAAAATGGCTGAAAACAGCCGACTCGAGGCGGATTGCTGCCATGGGCGGTGGCACCGTTGTCGGAGCATGGCGGAGCCGCTGTGCTGGAATTCCAAAATTGGCTAAAATGGGCCTTGAGATTGATTTAGGGTTGTTTGGGAAATTTATAGGTACTTATAGCACGTTTTGATTCCCGAAGAAAAATTCAGGGAACCCGGGGACCATCAGTGGACACAGTCAACAGTTTAACTTTTCGGGCATCAAATTGAATAAGAATCCCTCATCCTATTCTTTGTTATAGAATTGAAGTTTAATTAATAATAAATACGGTATTTTGTACAATTTAAAAAATGTTCATAATTAATTACGGATTGTTAATAGAGGCAGAACCGGAAACTATTCTCTGTTGATTTCTATTGATTGTTTTTACAGTTTAAATGCATGATAGTGACTTATTGATTTATTTTATAACTTTGAATGCATGTATTGTTGTTTTACGTGTTTACGATTGAATCGGAAAAATAGAGGTTAAAGGTAAACAGAAAACTTGTGTGATTAAGTGACTGGATGAAACGGCAGTCTTACTGGACATCCTGCGAGATGGTGGACGGATCAGGTACACAGGGAATTCTACCATGAACGTGTCTCATAGCGGACAGGGTATGGCCCCTCGCCGGAGAAGAAGACCCAGCTGCTGGAAAGGAGACCGCCACCAC